CTTAAGAACACTATAAGATTTGTTGGGTGTAGGAAGAATGAAAATGAAAGATACCTTTTTTGAGATATCCTTGACTGAAGGACGATTTTCGATATCATTATGTTATGTTAAAACTATAATATTTTAAATAAAAAATGGTCAAACTAAATGACATACACTTTCATTCAACGATTAAAATCGGATAAATAGTTTAGAAAATATATGATGGCAAATTTAATGCTTATTGAAAAAAATCTTAAAAAATGTGATCTTTGAACCTCAATAAAATCTAAACCGTAATGAATTTGGAAATTTTGGAGAACTTTAAGCTTCGTATTTATAACAAAGAATGTCTTTACCAAGTTTCAAAATCGGAAAGGGTAGGGTACAAATCCGTTCGAAAATTTTTGAAATGGGCTGCTACATAATTACGTCAATAATTGTTAAATTTTTATGGAAATTAAGTGGTTTATTTTAGTAAAAGTTGATTTACATGAGATCCCCTAATTTTCCCAATCTTATTTTTTTATATTTTGTTGAGTACTCTATAAACTGTTTTTGGTGAAGAATTAAGAAAGTGGAAGATATAGTTTTTAAGATATATTTGGCTCAAGGAAATTTTTTAATAACATTATCCTTATTTTAAACTACATTATTTTAACAAGGTTTTATTAACTACAAGACATAGGAATTATTTAGGGACTTTGAGGATTAAAATCGAAAAGATACTTAGTTTAGAACATATACCATGTCAAAATTAATGCTTGTTGAAAAAAATCTTATATGAACTTTTAACATCGATAAAATCTAACATCTATTAAATCTTTCTGCAATTTACAATAGTTTTTATTTAGATTATTCAAAAGCATTACTATTTTAAAAAAGTAAACTTTTCAATATTTTATTTCCCTTTTTCCTATTTTCGTTTTTAAAATTCCTTTTTATTTTTTTCTTAATTTTTAAATTTTGCATTAAAAATTTTCGTTTTGGGGGGGAGTCGTGTAAATTTCCCTTTTTCCCCGTAGATCTGCGCCTGGTTACAGGTAGTAGCTCCCATATAACGCCAACGTTTAAAAAGTCCATATTCGAAAATCACTTACATTTTGTTAGACCTAATTGCTTAATGATAGTACCCTCACCATGGAAACTAAACTTCCCAGCAAAAACTCGGTAATGGGTTGTACTTCCATAACCACTTACTTTTCAATGACTACTACTTACCATCTGCATTACTTAGAAGTACTCTAGTAATGACTTTCTTATAATCTGATATAGAAGTACTTTATTTTCGGCTTTGTCATTTTGTTTGCACATTTTATTTAATTGCGTTTTAAGAATTGTGTTTTACAAAAAATAAAACAAAATTAGTTTTGTATGTGAAAACCATTATTTGACGCGCAATAAAATATCTAAGCAGTGGTGTAGTGTGTAGAACATTTGACTAACAAACCGAAGTCCCTGGTTCGTATTCTAGCTGGCTCTATTTATTATTAAAAAACAAAACAACTTACTCAACAACTGTTTTGTAAGAGAAATTGCAAGTACTTCTTTAACTCCCTATTTGTAAGCGAGCGTAGAAGTACTTGCCTCCAATGACATCACCGTGTTAAAATAATGACTTAAAATGCTAATGAAGAAGTAGTGAAAAGAGGTTTTATTAGCTTTTTAACTCATTACTTTTCAATATAAGTTTTTCCTGGGTTATACCGAGTTAGCTAAAAGGTTGATAGTTAAATGGGTTTTAATTACTTTATTCCGTCTTCTTATGGATATTTGCCATTTAACTATAATTCAAATTTTCAAATATTTTAATTTTTATACCCTCCACCATCATCAGTGGTGATAGAGGGTATATATAACTTTGTCATTCCGTGTGTAACACCAAGAAATATTCATCTGAGACCCAACAAAGTATATACAGGTTCTCTCATAAGTATTCGAATTTAATGTATTATGAAAACAGACATCACTTTATAATAGATTTTGTGGGAAAAATAAATAAATAAATTTATTATGTTGTCCAGACAGTCCTTGAATTTTATACCACATTTTAAAAATTAAAAAAAAAATAATTTACTTAAACTAATTCTTTTTACTCGGGGGAGTTTTCCAGTTTTTTCCTACCGAGCGCGTCCCCGGGTGGCGGATAGGGGGTGGTGATGGACCATCTGTTCTCTCCCAGCTTTAATTTCACTTAAGCTGAGGGAGGGCAGATTGTCCACCACCTGGGAATATTATATTCCCCGCGGACCAAAAAACTGGAAAAAACAAATATGGAAAATAAAAAGATAAAAGTTACGGTGCAGGGCCTAAATAACCCAGTACCGGCGGCAAGTGTTGATCTACTCACGAGTCACGTGTCGTCGTCATCCTGCAATCATGAGCAAAATACCACTACGGAGATGGGTACCTTGGCCTCCGTGGCGGACAATGCGTCAAGTGTACAGCATACCGCTGGCAAAATTATAGGGGTGAAAGAGAAGCATGTACTCGGAGAGAGCTCTAAGCTACCTCAGCCTTTAAATATAGGTGAGGGTTCCGACTCTGAATCCTCAGATGATAATAATAATACCATTATAGCAAATCCCAAAAAGGATGAAGTATAGCAAATGGTGAAAGAGGTGAGTGATAGCATAGCTAAACTACCTATTACTAAGAAAAGACTTTCTGGAGCACAGAGGAGGAAGTTGAAAAAAGATGCTTCAGGAAATCATAGCTAGTCAATCCCACGACACTCCAAAGGAAAAATCGGACTCTCTCACAAGATCTGAGGCAAAAGGATCAGGTCTCCCGAGGAGTTGACAACTGAGAATAAACCTAAGAAGAAAAAGAGCTCCCCGTCTTCTAATACACAGTCGAAGCCAAGCCATACTTCACTCAAAGGAATCTCAAGTGAGAATCCTGCGAGTAAGGGTGACAACGCCAAGCCAGATATTCCGAAGACGAACACGTCGGTGAAATCAACCATGGCTGTCCATGTAAACCTTGTGCGCAAGGTACAGGTCGCAATTTTCAAGATAATTGGATAAAATTTGGCACGCACGTTTTATTTGGCCTAAGGACGAAGCCTATTGTTAAAATCGGTCCATTATTTCACCTAGCCCCCATAGAACAGAACCCCCTAAAAGGTCTTCTGAACTCATAATTATGTTAAATATACAGGTATATTGATAAAAAGCGGCACTACTAAGTTTTATAGAAGTCTTGATGACCCTGCCAAATTTCATAAAGATCAGGCCTCATTTGACCCTATCTCCCATACAAAGTCCCCTTCAGAAAATTACTTAAATGTCTAAAATTAACTTATAAACACAAATATCGCCATGAAATTCAGCACAATAAAATATTATGTAAACATAAATATATTCACAAAATTTTATCGGGCTTGGTCCATATTTGCCCCTAGCCCCCATATAAAGCCTCTTTCAGAAAATTAGTTTTTCATCCATAAATTGCTTAAATGTATGGGAACAAGGTAATGTTGAAGATAAATACTTTGTTATGAAAAATAAATCACATTTAATATTCATAACTGGTGTAGGATATCATATGGTCGGCCACGCCCGACTATACTTTCTTACTTACACCACCATAGTGGGGAGGGTATTATACGTTTGTGCTGATGTTTGTAACGCACAAAAATATTGGCCCTACACCCACCCTAAAGTATACTTTCTGAGTCGATTAAGCCATGTTCGTCCGTCTGTCCGGCTGGCTGTCCATGTTAATCTTGTGCGCAAGGTCGGGTCGCCTATTGAAAATGGTTGAAATCGGTCCATTATTTCACCTAGCCCCATACAACACTACCCCCCGGAAAGGGCTTTTGAGTTTATAATTATGTTAAATACTGTAGTATCTCTACAAAAATCGGCAAAACTTAGTTCTATATACGTCTTAATAATACTACAAATATTCATAATTATCGGACTATATGACCCTAACCCCCATACAAAGTCCCCTTCAGAAAATGACTTGAAGGTTAATAATTCACTAATAAACACTAGTATCACGATGAAATCCAGCATACATAACTCTAATATAAACGTAAAGGATAGGCCCATGTTTACCCTTGCCCCCATATAACCTCTCTTTTAGAAAATCACTTTTTTCAACAAATTGTTAAAATATTTCGGAATTAAGGTAAACAACTTAAATGCTTTGTTATTAAATATAATCCACATTTTTAACATACTCAGTGATGTAGGGTATCACATGGTCGGCCATGCCCGACTATGTCGAATTTTATCCCGATGACTTTAATTGTCAATGTGCGTTTAAGTAATTTTCGGAAATGATCCTTATATGGGAGTTGCGACCAATTATGGACCGATCAAGAAAAAATTTCCTATAATGATATATTGAAAAAAAGATATTCAAGTCGAATATTACTCCAATAGATTTATTAATTAATAAAATATGTGCGTTTAAGTGATTTTCGGAAGTGGACTTTATATAGGAGCTGTTTCGCTCAAAGCTTTGGATGGGGATGAAAGGCTGGATGATTGGAAAACTTTATTATTCTCTCTGAGCCAAAACAAAATATATGAATATATTTTGTAACTCAGAATAATTTAATAAGCAAGGAATGAAAAAAAAAGAAAGAAAATAAAACACAGGAATTAGGATTTCTTTTCTTTGGATATTTATTAAATTATTTAAGGAATAAGGAATTCTTACCAAGGATAGGAAAGTGGACCAATTTGCACAAAAGAAAGTTTCTTTCTGGCGGAAATAAGATTTTACGACATATTTGAAATAATTGACGTTTTATTTAGAACTTTATGACAACTTTACATATGCTGCAATTCATAGCATTCAGTATCGATATATGTCATAAGAAATAGGAATTTGCGGGGAGATTATGAATAAATGGATAATTGTTGTTTGGCATAAACATTACCGCCCGCCTTGCAGTATACAAACTATGGAAAAAAGGAATAAGGATTGTCGTAAAATACTTATTTCTGCTAGAAGGAATTACAAAATATAGTTGTGAGGTTAGGAAAACTTAATGTTAATATTAGTAAGTTGATTCCTTTGGACATCTGTGCTATAGAAAGGAAAAGAATAAATAACAATATTTGTTGCAAAAGGAAATAAATGGAAATATATGGATATATGGAATTCAATGAATATATTTTATTGGAAAATTCAATTAATAAAATATTTGTGTTCGTTTGTTTTGGTTTTATTTTGCTTTATCGAATATACAAGTGCACATGGTTTAAGTAAGACAAGCGCCGTAAATGGTCCATCCAAAGATGGTACTTTGCGCCGTTGGCAACCCAGTTTTTGTGAAAACGCCCTCTCTCATCACCTTCGGATACAAATCGACGCCTATGATGACGTCAATTCCGGCGGATTCGAAAAATTTCGGATCCGCTAGAAACAAATCCCGGAAATGCTGCTTAAAACTCGCCGGTAACGAATTAGCAGGAGTCTTAGACGTGATTCGGTTATCAACACGTAATATTCCCTCAATCTTGCATTCTGAATCAAAACGAGATTTCAGCACTATAGGACACATAGTTTCAGCTTCCATGGTCAAAGTTGTGAGATGAAGCTTATCCACCATCCTTTTCGATATCCTACTGACGGCAGAACCAGAATCTAGGAGGCAACGGGCATGGTTAGCTGTGGAGCCAATCTTCACTAACACCGTTGGCAAAAGAATTGTGCTGTTCTGACGTAACAACGACGATAATGTAGTAGTGGAGGGTGTTGGTAGGGCTGCTTTTCTACGCGCAAAGTGTGACGTCGAGGGTTGAGGAGACGGTGATCGCGATCGAGAGTTCGAGCGTGTTGGGCTTATCCCGAAATCTTTTAAAAGCCTAGGATTAATATGGAGAAGGGAGTGATGAAACTTGTTACAATGTCGACAGCCGTGCTTTGAGAGACAAGTTCCTTGCGAGTGGTCGTGAGCTAAGCAATTTTGACAATATTTGTGAGTTCTCACGGCATCGAGGCGTTCTTTCATGTTCATAGCTAGGAATTTGCGACAGGTGCGTAATGGGTGCGGACGAGAGCATAGACGGCATAGGAACCTGTTGTAGTTGCTAGGCAGCTTAATGTGTTGTTGGCGACGGCGACGATTATTGGAGCTTTTGATGTTTTTGGGTTGGCGTTTAGGCATGATGCTCTGAAAGGAATAAAGTTGGTTGGAAGATCTTAGAGAATGTAGAGAGGAAGTGGATGACTAGGATTCGAATAAGCAAACTAATTTATGGATTGGCCTTGTTATTAGACCACGTTGCGTATATATGTCGGCAACTCGAACTTTTTTATCGGATCCGGTATGCACTTTTTCAATTCTACCTAGCCGCCAAGAGTTTGAAGGGAGATTTTCATCCTTTATGACAACTAACGTCCCGGGTTTAACATTGTCTTCGGAAGTCTTCCATTTAGTTCGTTTCTGTATCTCCTTCAAATATTCGTTTTTCCAACGAAAGCAGAAATTTTGATAAACTAAATTCAGACGTTGCCAACGATTAACAATGGATATCGGACTTTCGTTAATCTTAGGATCAATAGGACAAAGGATAGGAGAACCTATGAGGAAATGACCTGGAGTTAAGGCGGAAAGATCTGATGGATCTTGCGATTGTGGAGAAATAGGCCGAGAGTTGAGACAGGCTTCAATTCGAGCGAGAAGACTGGAAAATTCTTCAAACGTGTATTTAAAACAACCTACGGTTTTACGGAAATGTGATTTGAAGCTCTTGACTCCTGCCTCCCAAAGGCCACCCATATGCGGAGCACCCGGCGGAATAAAATGCCAGGTCAGGTTCTGGTGAGCGTAGCTGGAAGTGAGCAATTCGCGAGACGATAGCATGAATTCTCTTTGGATAATCTTTGACGCTCCTACGAATGTAGCTCCATTATCGGAATGTAGATGGAGTGGACAACCACGACGAGAAACAAACCTGTGAAAAGCGGCAAGGAATGCAGATGTGGACAAATCTGTTGTAGCTTCCAAGTGAATAGCCTTCGTCGAAAAGCATACAAACACACATACATAGCCTTTAGTCATACGAAAACCTCTACCAGAATAAGATTTGATATCAAATGGACCTGCAAAATCTAGTCCCGTATGAGTAAATGGACGCGAAATTTCAGATCGCTCAGATGGCAAGGCAGCCATCATCTGTTGCTGACATCTTTTCCGGTAGATAATACATGGTTTACATTTTCGAATGGTGGTTTTGATAAGATTTTTTACTTTTGGAATCCAGTAATGAGTTCTTATCAAGCGTAGGACAAGCTGATTACCACCATGAAGACTAATATCGTGGACAAATTTGACTAAAAGCCGTGAATATTGGCAATTATAGGGAATAATGACAGGATGTTTCTCATTGTACGAAAGACCCGGAGAATTCTCGAGTCTTCCGCACGATCGGATAAGTCCTTCGGAATCTAGGAATGGATTAAGATTCAAAATGGAACTGGACGAGGATATAACTTGTCTGGAAGATAAAGCTCGATATTCGGCAGGATAGCCAACTTTCTGGCAATTGGTTATAAGTCTATCGCGAGCAAAAATGATCTCTGAACTAGATAAGGCAAGTGAACTTTTATGAAAATTAGAACGCAATCTTGGGTGAGTGCGGAAAAGAAATCGGAAAATGTAAGATACAACACGAAGTGCCCTAGGAAACGAGGAAAATCTTTCCAAAATATCCTCATAATGTTGGAAATATGAGAAGTGCACTTTCACATTCTTCTTTTCAATTTCTGTATCAGGTATATTTGCCTTATCAGACATTGGCCAATTTGCTCTGGATTCTCTTAACCAATCAGGACCAAACCACCAAAGATGGTTGTTGACGAGCTCTTTTGGATAAACTCCACGACTAGCTAAATCTGCAGGATTGGACTCTGAGTTGACATGATTCCACAGTTTTGAATCAGTAATTTGCGTTATTCTGGAAACCCTATTTGCAACAAAAGTCAGCCAAGAACATGGAGGCTTGGCTAACCATGAAAGGACAATTGTGGAATCAGTCCAACAGAACAAGGAATAACGACTGATATCAAATTGAGGAAGAAAATTATCAATCATATCCGCCAATAATACAGCACCACAAAGCTCTAGTCGTGGAATAGACAAAGTTTTTACAGGAGCTACTTTTGTTTTGGAAGCAATTAAGTGACTGGATATCTTTTTACCGTCAGCTATTCGGATGTATAACGCGGCTGCATATGCTTTTTCGGAAGCATCGCAAAACCCATGGATTTGGATTTCAGCGTTAGGAATATAGTCTACCCATCTGGGAATCCGGATTTCATTAATATAGCAGTAATTGGATTGGAAATTCTGCCAGTGCTCTAAGGATTTCGGTGAAAGAATCTCATCCCATTTGGTACCTTCTATCCAAATCGTCTGCATCAGGATTTTTGCTAGAATCACAACTGGAGAAAGCCACCCGGCCGGATCGAATAATCTTGCAATCTGCGATAATACTTCTCTCTTTGTAAGTTGACGTTGATCGGGAAATGGTTTCGCTACGAAGAAAAACGAGTCTGAACGGGCATTCCATCGAACTCCTAGAGTCTTCGCTGTGCTGCTGTCGTCAAAGGTTAGGAAATCTTCGCAGAGCAGATGGTTAACGGGAATATCGTCAATGATTTCTTTGGAATTCGCCGTCCATTTCCTCAGGGAAAATCCAGCCGATTGCAGTGCAAGTATTAACTGCTTTTTAGATTCTTTCGCTTCTTGGATGGAATGAGCACCGGCCAATGCATCGTCTACGTACATGGAACTACGCAGAATAAGGCTAGCTTTTGGATAAGAAGCCTCGATGTCATCGGCTAATTGGAGTAGAGTCCGAATAGCGAGGTAAGGCGCGCAATTTACGCCGAATGTCACTGTTTTTAATTCGTAATCTTGGATAATTACGTTGGGATCATTGCGGAATAGGATTCTTTGGAATACAGTATGCTTCGGATCGACTAGGATTTGCCGATACATCTTTTGGATATCAGCATTGAAGACATACTTGAAAAATCTCCATTTCAGGATCAGTAAGGTCAAGTCATTTTGTAAAATTGGACCAGTATGAAGGATATCATTTAGGCTTAACCCATTAGAAGATGGAGATGACGCATTAAAAACAACGCGTACCTTTGTTGTAGTGCTTTCAGGTTTTATGACAGCGTGATGTGGTAGGTAATATGGACAAATTTTGGAATTGTGTGGCGGTGAAACTTTAAACATATGATCCAAATCAATATATTCTTCAACCACGTTGTCATAAATGGATTTCAAGTCAGGTGAACGAAGTAGCCGAACCTCATTTCGTAGAAATTGTGCCATAGCACTATTTCGAGATTGGCCTAAACTAAGTTTCTCAGGATAGCCATCCTTAAATGGAAGAGAAACAATATACCGACCATCTTTAGCTCTTCTGGTAGTTTTTGTAAAAAGATCGTCACAAAATTTATCAGATGATGAAGTAAAGTTCTTCCTTGGAAGATTCTCCACCTCCCAAAAACGTGAAATCTCTTTGTCTAAAGAGATTTCACAGAAATAGGAAACTAAGGAACAACTGGGAGAAGAGATATTGGACAAAGGACCAGTTAGAATCCACCCAAAGATAGTTTCTTGCGCCATTAGTGAACCGCAAACATTATGCTTTACACCAGATCGCATAATCGAAGGGAATACATCACCACCAATGAGAATATCCACTTTCGAACTTGTATGGAAATGTGGATCAGCTAACTGGATTGGAGGAAGTTTGGAAAAGAGTGAGCGATCAAAAGTCTTGGAAGGAAGACTACCGGAAAGTTGTGGAACTACTAAAGCTGTAACGAGCAGCTTTATATCTGGATTGAGAATGGAACTAATCACGAATGAACATTGTTTATCAACACTAGCGGATATTGTGTTATTTAGTCCAGAAACTTGAGCATTAGTGGGAGTTGAAGGAAGTTTCAGTAGATTAAACAACCTTTCCGAAATAAAAGAACCTTCGGAACCTGAGTCTATTAACGCTCGAGCAGGGTATCTATTATCCAAGTAACAAATTTCAATCATTGCAGTGCCTAGTAAAACGCCAGTGGAATTTACTGTAAAACAAGATGTAACAACTTCAGCATCCGAAGTAGGAGCGGACTGTATAGTAATTGAATTCGAACTAGTTACAAATGGTGCTGAATTTGGATTAAGGTTGGAATTGGCGCTTGTACTAGGGCCCGGTAATGAAGTGGAAACTTCGGTTTCTTTGTGGAGTAAGGTATTGTACCTTTTATGGCAACGGAAGCAATTGATTTTGCTGTTGCAGTTTTTAACGGAATGCGTTTTGGAAAAGCAATTGAGACATAAGCTAAGTTTTTTAATCTCACTGAGGCGCTGAGAATGGCCCATTTGCAAAAACTTCGGACATTTTCGTATTGGATGAAACTCATTGGTACATAGTTGACATTTAGGCTGGGACACGTTATTTTGAAAAGCATTAACAACTTTGGATGGACGATTCACCTTTTTAGGTTTGGACTCGGTAGGCTTGGATGTAGCGGAACGTATTTCGGAAACGGATTCCAAAGTCCTGTATCGATTGGTCAGGAATAAATCTAAATCGGACCATTTTGGAATCGACGTTTTATCCTTTAAGCCTTGTTCCCATAGAGTCAAAGTTGAATCAGGAAGCTTATTGGAACACAAGAAAACAAAAATAGGGTCCCAGCTGTCAACGTCTATGCGATGGAGTCGTAATATGGAAATACAAGAGTTTATGTCCCTTTGCAAATGTTGAATAGCTTTTGCCGATTCGGAAGTTATGCTAGGGAGATTAAATAGGATTCGAAGTTGTCCGTTAACTTGGACCCGATGATTCTCAAATCGTTCTGTCAGATTTGCCCAGGCTAAATCAAACCCCTGATTTGTTAAAGGACTCTTCTTAACAATCTCCCTTGCTTCTCCTTTAGTCTTCTGAGTCAAATGGAAAAGCTTCTCAACAGGGCTTAATGTGGAATTCTGTATGAACATGGCTGTGAATAGATCACGGAAAGTCGGCCATGATTCATAATTACCATGGAAGGTCTCTATCTCACACGGAGGAAGGTGAAAGCTATGCGAAGGCTGGGAAGATACAGGCTGGACTGGGAAAAACTGAGAATTGATCGGACTTGTGTCAGATTTCTCACGCGACTGATCCCGAAGGGCATCGGTCAGCTCGGATAGTTTTATCAATATATTACAATAAGTAACATAAGTACTTTTGTATTTGTCTTTAAATGCTTCTATATCATCCGATTCCCCGGGATCCGTATCATCTTCGTTGTCCTTATCGAACAAAAATTTTTCATAAGCCGCCTTAAGACGTACCCATGTGGACTTTATTTCCTGCCTGTAGATTTCTAACGCATGAAGAGAATTGATTGGATAACGATTCTCATTATAATCGGCCTCAAATTCGACTATACTATCGGCCAAGCGGATAAAGTGATCAAGAGACATGTTTAATATACCAAAAGGACAAAAGGAAAAGCACTAGCAACAATTCAAATCGAAATTCGGAATGAAATTATCTAAAAATGTCGGAAGTGAAATCAAATCGAGACTAAAACCACAAAAAATTGTAAATAAACCGATCGGAATAAACGTGTAAATCAAACCAGAAAGAAAACCAGTAATTTGGATAAAATATATTTTTCGAAGAATTGATACCTTTACGTTACTGGACTATAGGATCAGCTGCTTCAAAAAATAAGTAAAATAAGTATATAAGAAAGTTCGTCAACCTATTCAACGATATTTGTTTTTGGAGAAATTCTTTTATTTTATTTATTTACAATCCTTGTAGAAAAAATAGCAACAATTTATTCCATAAAGTTGTTTACCAATATGTAAATTAACCCTCGGTCGCACGAACAAAAAGACAATTAGTAAATTTTTCCTTTTTAGAATTAGAATATTCGTAATTAAAAGTATTCTATTGGACAAAACGTGCAGTAAAATGTGTATTTAGTAAACTGGATTTATTTAGCGTATATAATTATTTTACTAATCTTCAGAAATATGGACAAAGTTTATCGCAATTTGCTTCAATATTATTTATTACCAACACCAAAAAAAGAGAAATATATTTACTAATTGTATTATTAATTGCCAATCATAAATGGTTAGATCGAAATGCATTAAAATATTCGGAAAAAAAATAATATAAAAAATGTATGCCCCCACTGACCACACAAGGGTTAATTATGATCAGTCAACGTATGACGAATAAAGCAGAAAGGAAAACAAGCAAGTAGATGTACACACGCACAAACACGTATGTTTATGGTAATACTTGTAAATGGATATACACACGCATGAACTAATGTACTGCTTGTAGATGAAGTAAACAAACGTACAAACGTATGTAATTTAAAGGGCTCGCTAATAATATTATTGTGGACAATTAATATTGTTTGGAAATAAGCAAAGTAAAAGGTAAAGAGCAAATTGAAGGGAACAAGTATTATTTAAATTTAATAGTATATGAACGGAAAAAAAAATAAAGAGTTATGAAATTGAATAGGGAATAATGTGAAGAGAATTTAACTTGGAATTAATATGGAAATATAGAGAAAATATTCACAGCAAAAGAACAAAATGCCCTACGTTGGATCAATAGAAATAAACACCGGTTAATATATTTATTTTTTTATTATAAAACGTTAATTTTTACGCTTATATTTTAAAGAAACGGTGGATCAAAGAAAATAAATACCGGTGAAGTTAGTAATTTGTGTACAAAAAAAGCTATTTTAATGATATTTTTAGGAAAACTCACGCTTTTAACTCCAACTCTTGGACGACCAATAGAAGTAGGGGATATTAAATTCGGTGCACACAACTATAATTTTCCACTAAATTCAATTTGAATTTGCCGACGGCTTTTTTCATATAATTTTGGACCAATTTTTATATATATATATATATATATTTTAAAAAAAACTTCTTCACTCTCTATTTTCTCTTTTTTTTTTTTTTTTATTATTAAGTTGCCGACGGATAAAATGCCGTCGGAATTTTCAATTATTAATTTGTATATTTTATTTTCCTTTGTAGATATGTATGTAGTTAATTTTTTTTTTTTTTATAAATGCACTCAACACAAACACTATGCACTTTGTATATGGATAAACTAAATTAAGCAAAAATAAATAAAACAAACGAACCTGTGGAATTGTTGACTGTTGGAAGTAATCCTTTGTTGGTAGAATTAGGCACAATGAGTTGTAATCTCCGAGAGAATTATATCTTCCAAATTATCCGGTTCGAACTGGACCAAAGTGTTTCGTTCAAAGCTTTGGATGGGGATGAAAGGCTGGATGATTGGAAAACTTTATTATTCTCTCTGAGCCAAAACAAAATATATGAATATATTTTGTAACTCAGAATAATTTAATAAGCAAGGAATGAAAAAAAAAGAAAGAAAATAAAACACAGGAATTAGGATTTCTTTTCTTTGGATATTTATTAAATTATTTAAGGAATAAGGAATTCTTACCAAGGATAGGAAAGTGGACCAATTTGCACAAAAGAAAGTTTCTTTCTGGCGGAAATAAGATTTTACGACATATTTGAAATAATTGACGTTTTATTTAGAACTTTATGACAACTTTACATATGCTGCAATTCATAGCATTCAGTATCGATATATGTCATAAGAAATAGGAATTTGCGGGGAGATTATGAATAAATGGATAATTGTTGTTTGGCATAAACAGGAGCTATGACCAATTACGGGTCTCTTCAGAAAAATTTCTTAGAGTGAAACATATGCGTTTAAATGACCAATTATAGTCTTATCCGAAAAAAAAATTAAAATTAGTAGAGTGATTCACATATAAACGAAACATATTTGTGTCGAATTTTATCAAGATACCCCTATTTGACAATGAAATATGTGCGTTTAAGTGATTTTCGGAAGTGGGCCTTATATGGGAGCTACGACTAATAATGGACCGATCCGAAAAGAAATTTGGTAGAATGATTTGTAGGTACACAATTTTGTGATAAAATTCTATGCTCGAATTTTATCACAAAAGCTTTATTTATCAATGAAATATATCCGTTTAGGTGATTTTTGGAGGTGACCTTATATAGGAGCTATGACCAAGTGTGGACCGACTGAGATCTAAATTGGTAATATGATTTATATTCATATTATATATGTACAAAATTTTGTGTTGATACCGATATATTTGAGGGAGTTATTAACGGTAAACTAATTTCCGGGAATATACAACTTTGTATGGGGGCTATGGGAAATATTAGATCAATTGTTATGAGCTTGAACATACTTGGCACAATAAAATAATGTGTGACAAAATTCATCGAAATATCTATGGTAGTTTCTGAGAAAACTACTAAAGAATTAGGAAAAAACGTTATTTTTTCCGAGGTAGTCTGAAATTTTTACTCATAACTCTTTACGTCGTGAACCGATTTTACTGATTTTCAATACCAAACTGTACCGGATAAAGAATGTTTTGCGTGAATTTCGTGAATTTCTATTGCTTCGTTTTAACGTGAGCGTGTTTTACACAGACAGACGGACGGACATAGCTAAATTGATTAAGAATTTCATGAGGATCAAGAATATATATTAGGGTGGGTCGAAAAAAAAAGTTGAGTCAGTCACCCCCTACGATTAAAGATATGTTAATAACATTTCCAAAAATATAAAAAATATTTTTACCACGCCTAGAAATACCGTCCTATACCTAGTTATATCTCACTCTTAGAGAATTTTTTAATTCGACGTCATATTCTATGCGCGACTTCTGATATCTCGGATTCTTCCCCGAAATCTAAAATTGTGGCTATACTGGAATACAGTATATTTAATTATTTGAGCTATTTGCTTCTAAAATGCTCACTTTTATGCATAACCAGCTATTTTACAGGTATTTTTAAATAGTTCTATATAGTTCTAACTACAAACAATTAATTTGCTAGGGATATGGTCGAAAACTATTTTTTCAAATTAATTTACAATACAAAATTTTCATTCTGCCCCCTATCTTAACACAAGAAAGATCATTTTATTCAGCATTTAATTTTATTAATAACAAAATCACGTAGGTACATAAAAACTTAACATTTTATTTTATAAAAATCTATGAAAAATTAAAGAGTTATGGTTTATAAAAATATTTCATGTTTTTACCATACAATTACTTGCATGTTTCTTGTTTTTTTAGCAATTTTCAAAAATGTTTATACGAATTTTTATAAAATGAAATAAATTTATTTATTGACAGATTAACTTTTCTTAAATAGTTATATATTTTTAAAAAAGTTCTTGAACCCAGTAAAAATTGGAGCTTACATGCAAGCAGGTTTGTAAGGGAACGAAGCTATTTTCTCCCTTACAAACCTGCTTCGATAAGGCATGATTTTTATACAGCGAATTCCCACTTGGAAGCATTCCCACTAGTAAGCTTAAATATTATTTAAATACTTCACTTACAATCTGCTTCTCTGTAAGGGATAGTAGTAAGCTTTTAATTTTTTTCAGCTTACATTATAAAATTACTCCTATCATTGGTATTCCCTTATTTCCTGCTTCTCAGTAAGCGAATACAGATGCAGTTACTTCCCTTTTTAGCTTCCTAAAGTCTAAAAATTTTTTACTGGGAAATTAAAACTAATAACAAATATTAGTCGGGAATGGCCGACCATATGATACCAGTTACGAGTATATATAAAATGTGATTTCTTTTTTAATAAAGCATTTATATTGAAACTAGCTACGCGTACCCGGCGTTGCCCGGGTTTCTTCTAAAATAAAGAGAATATTATTCTGTCTGTAATGACTATACTTTTTTTAATAGATGTCAAAATTTAGCTTATAACGATAAAATAGTTATTATATTTTTCTGCATTTTGTTTAATACTTAAAGTCAGTTTCTGAACAAAAATGTCCCTTAAAAATTTTCAAATTGAAATTGAGCTTTAATTAGGAAATTTTGACTAATTTGTAAAAACATTTAGGAAAGTTTTTTTGAGAAATTGTACTGAAATCCGCATTCTCAATCACTGGTAGGGAACTAAGGACACTTTCTAATTAGTTATTTTATTTTTCCCATGTGCAGTTGATTTAGAGAATTGTTCAGTTTAAATTCGGTCACACTGTACTTTGAATTGTAATGCCCCTGGTGTATGGAGACAAAAGGCTTCGGGGCATTTTATTAACTACAAAAATACGTACCATTAACTGTACAAAATTTCAAGCGGTTTTTTTTTCTATTTGAAAAAGTACAGGCAATTGAAGAAACTCTGAAACGATTATGAAACAATCTGCACAAAATTATGAAAAATTTGGAAGATTTCAAATTCCTTTAAAAATAAAAAAATTAAGTTTTTTTTCTGTTCTAAAAAATATGAAGAATCCTTGATCTTGACAGAGAAAACAAAACAACTTTTAATTTGACAAACAATTTTGAGCAGCGTTGCCAATTTAGCGCTTTTGGCGCTAGATTTAGCGTTTTTTAACAGCCCAAAAGTCGCATTTTTTTTCCTTAGCGCTTTTTTAGGAAAAAGCGCTAAATTAGCGCGTTTTGCTTATTTGCTTCTCTGATTTGCTGATTAGCAACATTTTTCTTACTTTTTTTACAACTATTAATAAATGCGACTTCATTTGAGAGAGGATTTTTTTACGGTATTTTTTTTACTTGGAGTTTGACAGATATTACTTACTAAAGTTCATGCAAAAAAATATGATCAGCTGGATACTTATGTATACATATTTTTTTATATTTTCGTGCAAACTGTAGCAACTGTTCATTTAAAATATAGCCAACGAATTTGTGTTCCTTATAAATTATTTGTAATTAATATAAAAACAAATATTCTTAAAAAAGAGACAACTTCTTTTTCATTTGTGTGTTTAAAAGTTTTTAATTAATTGTTTGCTTTAAATTAAAGTAATTTACAACAAAAAACAGTAATATTTAAAGAACATTTTTGGGCTTAAAAGCCTATTCCAATTGTATTAATTCCTCGTCATAGTTAAAAGGTCGTTTTAAATGGTAAATATTTCTGTAATTATTGTTAGAAATTTATTAATAATAAAAACCACAATTTAGGCCGAACGTTATGTGCAGAAATACAGAAAAGCGTGGGAGTCTGATCCACTTTTTAAAAATTGGTTGAAGCCATTGTTAAAGGATGACACAAAAGCCATATGTATTTACTACAAAACACAGATAAATGCAAAACGATCTGATCTGTTAAGGCACATGAACACCGCAAAGCACCAAAAAACGATTAAACCCTTTAATGAAACGGAATTAATACAGCCCCAAATTTCATTTACAACAAATGCCACGGAAAAACAAAATAGCCAGGCTATGCTTGCGCTTTTTATAGCCGTTCACACTCCCCTTTTATCAGTAAATCACCTAGGGGCCTTATGCAATTCAGCATTTAAAGACAGCAAGGCCGCAAATTTTAGTTTGCATCGCACAAAATGTACCAACATTATAACAAATGTTTTGGCACCACATTTTGTTGACAATTTGTTAGAGGACATTGGTGATTCAAGTTTTAGCCTCATATTGGATGAAGGTACATATATAAAATCTTAATTATATATATGAATATATTTTTTAATTTGTTTACATTTTTTCTTAGGTACTGATATTTCAGTGGAAAAACTATTAGGCGTTGTAATACGATATTACAGTAGAGATAAAGAACAGTTTATTACTACATTTCTGGGATTGATTGATTTAGAAGGTGGAAAAGCTGATGATCTGTTAAAAGGTTTGGAACGACTAACAAAATTATTTAACTTGGATTTAACAAAACTTTTAGCCATTGGTACGGACAATGCTGCCGTAATGACCGGTGTAAATAATGGTCTTTACAGAAAAATTAAAGAAAAATATAATTTAAAAAATCTCGTCTTAATTAGATGTGTTTGTCATTCCTTGAAATTAGCGGTGTGTGCGGCAGCAGAAAAACATTTTCCTGCCAATATTAACTTTATAGTAAAAGAAAGTCATAATTGGTTTTCTAACTCATCTGTTAGACAGAAAAAGTTTTGTAAAATTTATAAACTGATAAATGACGACAATTCTAAACCAAAAAAAATCCCGATGGCAGCACCGACTAGGTGGCTTTCTATAGAAAAGGCTGTGAAAACAATACTCGATATGTGGTTAGAATTAAAAACACACTTCAATATTGTTTGTGATAATTTATTTGAGACATCGCATCTTAAAAATATGTATAACGATTCAAAAAATTTAGTTTACATAACTTATTTAGCAGCAGTTTTAGGTGAAGTTCAAAAAGTAAATTTAGCTTTTGAATCTGAAAGTGCATATCAAACTAAACTTTTTAATGATTTATTCAGATTGTTACAAGTTTTGACCAATAAAATTATACAACCAGTGGAAGATTTCGATTACATGGAAGGAAATATTGACTCTGTATTAAATGAATATTGCTATTTAGGTTATAATTTTGAAAAAGTTTGTCATGAAAATAATATTGAAGGTTGTGAAAAACAATTTATTAAAAATAATTTAATAATATTTACCAAAGCATTAATCCTAGAAATAAGAGCAAAATTACCAACAAATTTTAAAATTTTAAAAAAACTATCTTTGTTTAGTATAGAAAATATTTTTTCTAACGACATAAAAGATGTCATAAATTTTATAAAAGAATTTATTGATTGTAAAAATGAAATTGAAGAAATTGAAAATAGTCTGAATAATTTAAAATTATGCCAGTGGAAAAATAAATATAAAACAGAATCATTTTGGATAGAAGTACACTGCTATAAAAATTCATTAAATGAAAATCCTTTTTTTAAACTTTCAACATTTGTTATTAATCTGTTAAGCTTTCCATATTCTAATGCTGAAGTGGAAAGATCTTTTAGCGTTATGAATTATTTCAAAACAAAAATCAGAAATAGAATGTCTCTTAATACGGTAAATTCTTTAATTCATATAAAATATGGACTTAAATTGAAAAAAATCATGTTCTGAAAACTATTGTATACCACCAAATGTGTCCTCAAAAATTAATTCTAATAATACTTATAAACATTCAAAATATTATATAAAAACGATATTATGGCCAGAAGTTGAAAATAACTATGAAGACATCTTTTTGTTGGAAGATGATCTGGTAGAATTTTGATAAATTAAATATTTTATTGTTATTAATAACAATTTTTATTTTATAATAACTTATTATAAAATAAAAGTAATTTTTTGAATGAAACCAAAGTTTTCTATACATATATGTATATAAACCGTTTGAACCTGAATTTAAACTATAAAAAATACTTTTTCATTTTTGTTTTAAACAAATTAATATTATTTGTATTTCTCTACTACACAGAAAAAACTGAAAAACGATTTCAATTACCAAAACCTCGTTTTCAATTATTTTATTTCTTGAAGTTCAACCTATAACAAAAATTGTATATTCAATTACTACTTATAATTGATTTCGTATACAAAATTTTTATTTTTTTATATTTTTGTTGTTGTTAAATACGTATTTGATTATACATTTTTATGATACAAATACAAAATGAATTGAACCCTTTTAAAATTTTTGATTAATCGTTTAATTGAAAATTTTTTTAAATTAATTTTTTCTGTGTACAAATGTATTGCACCTGAACTAAAATTCTTAATGTAGTAAATACATACATATGTAGTACACTAAAAATTATTTTAATGAAAAATCTACTATTTGTACCTGAATTAATACCAAATATGTAGTAATGTTTATGTTTTCTGTAATAAAAAAATGTATAAATATATATTTAGGACTTTGTATTTAAATATAATTTTAGCGCTTTTTAGCGCGTTTTAAGTGTATAGACGGCGCGTTTTGATCAAAAATAATTGACAACACTGATTTTGAGTAGTTCATTAAAGAGTAAAACCACCAAAATACATCCATTTATGCATCCACACTAATGTTTTGACTGAAATTAGACACCACTTATTAAATCCGAAGAAATATACTTATATACTATGAGAAAAGTGGACGGAAAAAGGTCATTGCATTTCATTATAGGTGTATTCATGCTATAGGTGTATTTATTCGGATTTGGTGTATTAAACACTCTCCCAGGAAAAACTTACATTGAAAAATAATGAGTTAAATAGCTAATAAAACCTCTTTTCACTACTTCTTCATTAGCATTTTAAGTCATTATTTTAACACGGTGATGTCAATGGAGGCAAGTACTTCTACGCACGCTTACAAATAGGGACTTAAAGAAGTACTTACAATTTCCCTTACAAAACAGTTGTTGAGTAAGTTGTTATGTTTTTTAATAATAAAAAGAGCCAGCTAGAATACGAACCAGGGGCTTCGGTTTGTTAGTCAAATGTTCTACACACTGCACCACTGCTTAGCTATTTTATTGCGCGTCAAATAATGGTTTTCACAAACAAAACTAATTTTGTTTTATTTTTTTAAAACACAATTCTTAAAACGCAATTAAATAAAATGTGCAAACAAAATGACAAAGCCGAAAATAAAATACTTCTATATCAGATTATAAGAAAGTCATTACTAGAGTACTTCTATGTAATGCAGACGGTAAGTAGTAGTCATTGAAAAGTAAGTGGTTATAGAAGTACAACCCATTACCTGGGCTCTTCCTCAAACACTGTATGTTGCCAAATTTCCTGAAAATCGGTTCATGTTTTTTTATATTTAGCCTAGAATTTTGGTGTTATAGCAGTTATTCAAAAAGTGAACATAAAAATGTACGTATCATCCAATCAATATCATATAGAATTTTTGTTTATACCCTCCACCACCATCAGATGGTATATAAAACTTTGTCATTCTGTGTGTAACACCAAGAAATATTCATCTGAGACCCAACAAAGTATATATATTCTTGTTTCTTATGAAATTCTGAGTCGATTTGTCCGTATGTCTGTCTGTCTGTCTGTCTCTGTAAAACACGCTCACGTTAAATCGAAGCCATAGAAATTCTCAAAATTCACCCAAAACATTCTTTATTATCCGGTAAAATTTGGCATTGAAAATCAGTAAAATTGGTTCACGACGTAAGAAGTTATGAGTAAACATTTCAGACTACCTCGAAAAAAAATAAAGTTTTTTTTCCCAATTCTTAAGTAGTTTTCTTAGAAACTACCAAAGATATGTATTTCGATGAATTGTGTCACACATTATTTGTTTGTGCCAGGGATCAAGTATGTTCAAACTCATAACAATTGTTCCAATATTTCCCATAGCTCGGGGTGTATATTCCCCGATATAAGTTTATCGATAATAACTCCCTCAAATATATCGGTATCAACACAAAATTTTGTACATACAAATATAATATGAATAGAAATCATAGATCCCATGTAAGGTCCACTTCCAAAAATCACCTAAACACACGTATTTCATTGACAAATAAAGCTTTTGTGATAAAATTCGAGCTGAATATGTTTTGTGTACATACAAATCATTCTACCAAATTTCCGATCCTGATCCTGAGGTCAGACCTATCGGTTCAGTAGTTTTCTGTAAGTCTCGAATTAAAATTTTGTATAACAATTACATATATAGAAAAAAGTGAGCATATGAAGAATCGTGACGTCAAAGCATTATTTTATTTAACCCATTGTTCTACTTTAGAATAGAACTATTAGTGTTCTAAATTTCATCTAAATCGGTTCAGTAGTGTGTCCGTGTAAACGTTGCAAACAGACTTTCTCTTTCATATAATTATAGGTAAGGGTAGTTTTATAAAAAGTAGGTGTTTTATAAAAAGTATATATATATATATATATATATATATATATATATATATATATATATATATATATATATATATATATATATATATATATATATATATATACATATATATATATATAAGGTAGTATTGTGGGAGGGATAGACAGCAGAGAGGGCAAAAGACATCATCGTCTTCTCTATCGGAAACTTTGCCAACAGGATAATATTTTCATTTAATTTTTTTGTTTTTATATTTATCTTTGTCGACAGTTATTAGCTACCTAAACTTTTAAAATTTTATGTTGCGAACCGAAATCTTGCATTCTGAGGACAAGAACCAGCCAAATATCCCTGAGCACGGCCGGACTCCTAGGTAGCAATGTCTCCAGAATGACAAGGCTCTTAGTGGTGGTTCATCACAAAGCTTATATATTACTATTTTTGACTATGGTGTAAACTTGAGGTGTACATTTTTAAAACAAAAACTTGTAAAACACAATTCTTAACACGCAATTAAATAAAATGTGCAAAAAAAATGTCAAAGCCGTAAAGTACTTCTATATCATATTATATGAAAGTCATTACTAGAGTACTTCTAAGTAATGCAGACGATAAGTAGTAGTCATTGAAAAGTAAGTGGTTATGGAAGTAAAACCCATTACCGAGTTTTTGCTGGGGAGCTCTAAAGTCATTTTCTGAAGGGAAGTTTATATGGGGTCAATCCTATGCAGATCCTCATAAAAGTCAGTAGAGAGGTTCTGGATCGTAAGAAACTTTCTTATGTCGAATTTCATCATAATGTCGAATAAAATCATAATTTCCACATAAAACTTGATGGATAGATTTTGGTTCCATTAAAAGTTATGTGTGTCGAATTTCATCACTATACTCGTATTTTTAAGCCATTAATGAGCGTTAAAGTCATTTTCTGTAGGGGACCTTATATACCCAGCAAAAAGTGGTGCTTCCTCGGAAGCAGGTTTGTAAGGCAGAGAGCACTTGTATACTGCTACCACTTCGCATGAAAGATTACATGATTTTTATATTGGATTCCTCGCGTAAAGGCTCTGCATAAGAAATCCAAAATAAGCATATTTCACAGCTTTTAAATTAACCTGATTTCATCGAATTAAATATGTACAAATAATTGTGCATTTCGGAATTGATTATATCAGGTGCTCGCGGAAGCACGATCCAGTTGCCTTTTACACAGCATCCACTATGTTGGTAATTCATGCCTTAAAAAAGGGATACTATCACGCCTTCTTTAATATGTATTAAAGAAGGCATTCTAGTAATGCTTTATTAAGCCATTTCCTGTACCAACACCCCCACCACCCCAAAAAAAAGAACTGATAAAAGTTTATGTATAGAAATAATTTTATTTTTATCAACATGTAATTTTTATGAATAAGAACTAAAAAAGAGATCATTTACAAAACATATTATATTGATTAATTTCACACTAATAACTAAATATTATTGATTATTCATGTTTTATAAAGGATATAAAATAATACCGACATAAAAGTTTATTGTAAATTTTTCATTCTAATAATTAAGAGTTTTTAAAAATGTAAAGTATAATAATATTTTATAAGTATAAATATTTTTACAAAATATTTGGTCTGTTCAATAATAACAAAATTTACAAATTATTGGAAATTGAAAAAAGAACAAGTGTTTTAAAAAATTAATAAGAATAAAAAATTAATTATAAAAAAATATTTCGTTCAGCAATAAGAGTAAAAAATAAATTATTCCAAAAAAGAAAATTCATGAAATTTAAGAAGAAAAATAGTTAAAAATCCATTAAAGATAATTCATTTTCCTTTGTATTTAAATAATTTAAACTATTTTCATCATTAGAAGAATTACTTTGAATGTCATTTAATCTAAGCTGCTGATTTTTTTTAAAGGATGCTTCTTTGTAATGTCTATTTTTTGCCAAGCGAATGCCTTTTCTTATTTCATCATAAAAGGCCTTTTTTGTCAACATTTCGTCTTTATAGACACATTCTGAAAAAAAATAAAAACAAGTATGAAATAAATAAAATTATAAATTTATTAAATTAACTTACTGTAAATTAAATTTATAAGTTTTGGGTAGTCTAAGAGTCTTTTTTTATTTTGTCTTCCATCAACGTTAAATTCTAGCGGCTGTATTTATAAAAACTTATTTTAGGTTTATTAAACAATTTTAGGCAAAATTCAGGAAAATCGTATTTATAAACGTGAAATAGCTTAAAACACCTTCAATAAACCATTGACAATTAGAAGAATTTTATTGTAGGCTCGACCCTTCTTTAAGCCAACAATAAGTTGATTTTTAAAAATTTTTTTCTCAGATAAAGATTTTTCCGGTAATTTTAGGTTGATTGCGAAAACTAATTATGGTTTCTTTTAAAATAAAATCTAAAAATTCTAATTTTAACGTTTACAAATTTGTAAATAAAATCCCAGAAAATTTTTAAGCGATTATATTTTGAGGAAAAAACTCAAATCTAGGCATTATTGGATTAATGCATGAATATTTGACAATATTCCAATTGTCCATCACTATTTTTAGGAAATTTGGAAATGCCCGTCTGTCAACCAAATGATGGACAAAATCATTTGATTTGGCTTTTTCAAAGTTTGTTGGTTAAATATAATGCCATAAAGTAATTAACCATGTAAATTATATTGATTAGTGTTATACTAATGCAAAATATATTCGCCGGCATTAAAATTAGTCAAATATCAAAGAAATTTATCAATATTTGCAAAAATTTATCAAAAATTACAAGGAAAATAAGTAAAAATAAGAAAATGTGTCATAGTGATGTATATTTTGTCGCAAAATATCCGTTATTCGGATACTTTTAATAATAATTAGAAATTATATGTTATATTTATACATCTGAACTAAATAGACATTTATTACAGCCATATATATATTTATTTTTCTTAAAAGTTTGTTTTTATTGTCAAAAATCTATTATAAACAAAAATATGAAATTAAGAAAACCGAATCAACGAATATTTTATCCTAATTGTACGCAACACTAACACATAAAATGACAGCCATATTGTACAGTGCTGCCAACTTAAACATAAATCAGCACAATAGTTAATATACGTTTATTATTTGTTTATGAATATCACAATTTTATTAATGGTTTTTAAGGCTAAAGTGTGCTTTAACTATTGAGTGCATTAAAAGCAAAATAAGATTTTTTTATAAATACAAGCGTAGTAGCAGATGTTTATCAAAAATGGCTGTTAGCATTTTCTTAATACCATTTCTTCCCACTATTTTTTTAATTGTGTGAGTCTGAAATAAAATATAAGGAATAATAAAAATTTAGGTGTATTAATAAATATTAGTGTAGTTTTATTACCATAGCTTCCATATTTTCATCAGAAATTTCTAGTTCTATATCGTCCATTTCCGATTTAGATTTAAGAGGAAATTTGTCCAAATATCTTGTGGCCACTGCAGTGGAGGTTAAATTTGATTTTATTAAGACATGCATTTCAGACAATAGATCTACAATTATTTTGTTTTGTCCACAAAATGTTTCTTTTAATTCCTTAATTTCTTTAGCCATGTCGCTGTTTACTAATTATGTTAAAATACATTTATAATTTAAGGGTTTTTTTATAGTTTTACTTAACAAGTTTATACCTTTTTGAAGTTCTTCTATACTTTTTTGGAGTTTTTCCAATTTTGATGCAGTCTCAATGGTTGTTGATGGATTTGTTTTAGTAGAAGATTCCTTCACAGGTCTAGAGCGTCCCATTTTGTAAAAAAAATATTCTAAAAATGCAAAATATATAATTACTGTTTTTTATTTATTGTTATTTATTTATTTATTATTATTTATTAATAAAGCCCAAACAAATGTTTGGATGGACCAACTTAATATAAGCATTAAGAGCAATGACAAAATGAAATAAGTAAATGGCTACTTTCATATGGCAAACATATTAATTTGCCGCGTATTTCTTGAAGTTTAAATGTTTCTTCTCTATATACATTTAAATTAACAACGAATATGCCAAGATCCTTCGATCGTATGGGTTCTGAAAACATATCTTCAGTGTTAATAAAAACATGGGCTTTAAACATATCATTTTCTAGAAAAGCTGTAATTTTGACAGGTGTATTATCAGAAATTAAGCAAAAACTATCTTGAAATTTTATATTAAAATACAAATTTTCTGATTTGTAAAATATTACGTTTCCCATTTTACCACGTTTGATTCCGTTTTCGACCGTATTTTTTGCCAATGGTATTTTGGAAAAAACATTAAACATTTGTTGCTCAATATGTTGAGACTTTTTAATTGATCTTTTTAAAGAGGTCATAGCATTTTCAAATGAATATGCTGTTATATTTGAAAGATTTCCATATTCTAGTGCAACCTCTTTTAGGTGTAGAAGATTATGCACATTATGGGTAATGCTTGTTTCTCCATAATAATTTGGAAATTGTTCCACAAATTGTTTTAGAATTTCATGAGCCTGATGTATTTCACTTTGTCTAATATTATTTCGAATTAAAATGCGATAAGCACACGATAAAAGCAAAAAGTGTTTGAAAAAGTTTCCACTTGTAAATTTTTTAATTACAATGAGCCCAGTATAAAGTACAAATTGTCGAAATTCGACAGCTTTCCACTTTCTTATTTCTTCAAAAGAACGAGGCTTCCTAGCAAACTCGCGTGGTATAAATGGATATAGAGATATCATTAATGATGACATTGATTGTTTAGTTTGAGCTGATAGGCGTTCGTTTGTCTTAGATGTTAGCAGTCTTAAAAGCATTTTTTTCATTACTCCTAAATCTATCAAATGCATGATATCAATGGGAAATTGAGTTATCATTTTTATGTCTAGACTTTCTAGCGACATTTGCATATTTAAAAATTTTGGTTGGTGAAAATCTTGATCACGTCTGTATTTAAAATCGGCATCAGTACGTAATTTACCCACAAATTTACTAAAAGTTGTCACATTTGAGATACTTATTCCTTTCTGGTCACATTTACTGCAACCATTTAAGGCATTGTGACCTCTTATCCCACACACATAAGAGCGGGCTGGCGTGTCACAAACAAATGCACGGATAATTATGTCCAATTTACGTTCTTCGACTAGAAACCCATTTTCTTTTATATCTTTAATTTCATAAACAAAGTCATGTAAGTATAAATCAATATCTAATGTTTTTTTTTCGCCAACATAACTTCCTATCAAAAAAACGTTTACCATTGGTAAATTTACAATGCGGCCTAATATTGGCCATAAACCCTATCCTTGCTTTTAAATACGGGCAGACCGTCGATTCCAATGTCCAAAACTAATTTATTGACATTTTCGTCTTTTATAACAGCAATTATTTTATTCAGATTATTTTTAATCCCTATATGAAAATAGGTACCGGGAGCTACAGTCCGTTTAGAAACAGGCTGTTGTTTTCCAGATAAACTGATAACACTTAAAGGTATTTCAGAATGCCTTTTATTTAATATTTTTAATAAAGATGTAGTGCATTCATATGAGGGTCTGTATTTTAAATACCATTCTTTTAATTCATACTTTAATTCCTTTACATCCGTATCACTATTATCCCTAATTTCTTGCAGAGACAAGTCTTCAATATTTGAACGTGATTCGAACTCATTACCATCAGTTCTTCCCATGGAAGATGCTCTAAGTAGAGCTAATGCATTTTTGTTTTTCTCTTTTTTTATTAATTTGTTGATTTGACTTCGACCTACCATAATTTGTTTTTTAATAAATTTTTAAATTTTTTTTTTTAATTTTTTATACATAAACTCACTTTTATATGAATGTGTGCAAATGCGTATGTATGTTTTTAAACCGTTATACTTTTTTATTTTAACACTATCACTTTTATGCCCTTACTCACTTGATTTAAAGAACGACACATCAGAACTAAATGTAATTTTAATAAATATTGCATCATCTTAATCTTCGTTTTAGTTGAATTATCCGTCGTGTATAATCGAGAAATCATTATTATAATTTTTGCCTTACTTTAGTGCGCAGCAGTGTGATCTACGGAAAAGCACTATTTTTACAATTATTTACAATATTTATTTATTTCTGGTACCAAAAAATTATTACGCCTTCTGTTAGTGCTTACATGAAGCAGTAAAAACAAATACTAAAAAAGAGAATTACGTAGAAAATATTTGCAAATTATTTCTCTCTCAACACAGTTCTTATAAAATGTTCTCTGATATGTTTTTTATTCTATTGTGGATTTTACCGTTAGAAATATGTATGTAGTATTGTTGTTGTTTTATGTATTCTGAAAAAGTTTCTAAATTTATAAAAACTGATATTTATATGTAATACCATACATATGTAATAAATTTTTAGCACAATTAAATTTGAGTTTAATATAACTTGCTACTTTAATTTAACAATTCTTTAAAATTCATTAATAGTGTAAATTTTATAAATTGGTATACCTATTTATAATTAAAAAAAAAATTAGAAGAAAAATAATTAATTGTTATGGAAATGTTTTATAAATATCAATATTAGAAAATATCAAAACTGAATTACAGATTTTAAAGCTGACGAGAAGCAGTAAAATCTTACAGATCCAGTGATTGTCTAACAAGAAGCGCTGATTTTTTCTAAGTAATTCACCACCTACACGAATAGCTGAATGTATGCCTTCCAAAATCATTTTTGTAAGGCAATAATTTTAGGATGCAATAAATGTAGCAGTAGAAGATGCAGTAATCATATTTATTGCTTCCAAATCCAGAATATTTTTTGCTGGGATTGTATTTAATTAATATTGGAGGTGCCGCCCGCTCTGAAGATTTCTACAAAAAATTAAATTTTTCGTGCATGCTTATTAGAGTTTGGTACTTCCCGGACTTTTCAATTTCCCGGAAACCGGGAATGAAAATTTCATTTCATTTAACATTTATGTTAAACTTAATTATACCCTACACCACTATAGTGGGGAGGTTATTATACGTTTGTGCCGATGTTTGTAACACACAAAAATATTGGTCCTACACCCACCTTAAAATATACCGGGAAGTCCCAAACTCTAACGAAAAATTAAAATTTTTGTAGAAGTTTTCAGAGGGGGTCTCGGATTTTTACTCATATCTTCGTTATTTATGGGCCGATTGGGCTGATTTTAAATAAGGTTCTATTTGATCGTATTTCCGATAGAATTATTGAAAATTCCGACCTCGCAGATATCTGAGGTCTTCTGAAAACAGATTCCAACACACAGATCTAGAATATATATACTTTATAGGGTCGGAAAATTATATTATAGAAATTACAAACGGAATGACAAACTTATATATACCCTTCTCACGAAGGTGAAGGGTATAATGATTGTGTGTTTGTATGTTTATATGTTTGTATGTTTGAACGTTATACGTATTCCTGTATGTCTGGGATAGGTAATAGGCTACTTTTTATTTTGAAATTTCAAGTGGGCGACGAGCCACGCCCAAATTAAGAAAATATTAAATCCGTTTATTTGAGATAATATAACAGTTAGAGTCCTCAAATTTTGTCGGGGTCACTTTAGTGTCAATAAGATTGTTTAGGACAAAAAGTAGGCGGACTAGCATTAGGGGCGTGGCACCTCCCATATAAATTAAAAACAAAAATTCGTTTATCTTGGAAACTATTACACTTAGAATCTTAAAATTTTACGCGAATAACTTTAACATCCATTTAAACATTTTGGCAGACTGCCCATGAGTAGAGTATGGATTTTCTCAACATGAAATTTCTAAAATTTTAAAACACAAAGATTAGAACAAAATACTTTAATTTTATTTAACAATATTAACTGCAAACCCGTCGATATATTTAACTTCCATTTGCAGTAGGACAATGCTTTATCATCTGAATTTATTTGTTTGAAAACTTTCTATCAGCATTTTAATTTATAATTTTTGATTTGAAAAATTTTGGTTTGAAAATACAAATTTATTTATTTTCAGAATAAATATAAATGAATTAATTTTGAAAAGTGTATGGGTTCACTTTTTAAATAAACAAATAAAAATCAGCCGCCTTGATGATTTCACTTTACTTAGTGCATCCTGAATTTTTAATTTAATTTTTTTTTATTCTTTTAATTTGTTTAAAAGAAACAGTTTTCCCGTTTTTCCTACCGAGCGCGTCCCCGGGTGACGGATAGGGGAAAAAAACAACATGGAAAGTAAAAATAAAAAGTTAAAAGTTACGGTGCAGTACCGGCGGCAAGTGTTGATCTACTCGCGAGTCACGTGTCGTCGTCATCCTGCAATCGTGAGCAAAATAATACTACGGAGGTGGGTACCTTGGCCTCCGTGGCGGACAATGCGTCAAGTGTACAGCATGCCATTGGCAAAAACAGTGATGAAAGAGAAGGATGTACTCGGAGAGAGCTCTAAGCTACCTCAGCCTTTAAATATAGGTGAGGGTTCCGACTCTGAATCCTCAGATGATAATAACAACACCATTATAGCAAATCCCAAGTAGGATGAAGTAGAGCAAACTACCTATTACTAAGAAAAGACTATCTGGAGCATAGAGGAGGAAATTGAAAAAGATGCTTCAGGATATTATAGTTAGTCAATCCCACGACACTCCTAAGGAAAAATCGGACTCTCTCACAAGATCTGAGGCAAAGAGGATCAGGTCTCCCGAAGAGTTGACAACTGAGAATAAACCTAAGAAGAAAAAGAGCTCCCCGTATTCTAATACGCAGTCGAAGCACAGCCACAATTCACTCAA